TTCTCATAAATTTGGGCAAATACATTTATTGAGAAAGTGCAAAATAGTTAAACTACTTATTCTAGTAAGAGAAAAAAATTCGCGATGAGCAATTTCTTACTCTGAGCTCTTTCTAGATTCGCCCCTACAACAACGATAATAATATCAAGCTTTTATCCTACTACGTGGGATCAGGCGCTATATTAATTTTTTAAGACCGTTGTTATCAGATAGTAAGCTCTAGATGAGAAAAGTAAAGGGTTACGTCAGGTAGTCGAAATCTAAAATAAATCTTATCGAACAATCATGACGTGAATCATTTTTCGATCCTCCTCTAAGAAGATAAATTGGAAACATGAGGGGTTAGCATTTCATGATGCTAATGAAGAAAAACTTTGAGAGATACAATTTTAGAAAATTGTGATGAGAAATACAATTGAAAAAGACAATTAGTCCTTCTTCATAATTTTCTTGGTTCATTGCACTGCAAAAGCAGGCTGTGGGAATTTGAGCTTGCAAAGCTTTGTCTCCTGCAAATTAAATTAAGAAAAATACATATGGTCCACAACCATGTTCTGGGAATTCTGTTTTGGAGAGAATTATAATGAAAATAGAATTAAATAAATAAATAAAGGACAACCTATTTTATTCATATATGTTATTATATATATGAAGACAAACATACAAAAAAAATATTATAATTGAGGGGCTGATAGATTATGCTTTAGTCCTATTTGGTCAGCTTTTTCTCTAGATTTCAGTACAATCGGTGCTGAGAAGTTTTCTATCAAAACAAAAATGAGTTATTTAGGCTTCATTTAGAGATTATTATGTGAGGAGTACGTATGTGTCTTGAGGACGTGTTTGGAGGTTAATTCAAACATGTCACAGCAATGTATTGGATGACGTGATGCATTCGGATTGGCCTCCTGATACGTTCGGGCACCGCACGTAGTAATTTTTCCTTCATTTGAGCCAGTTTTTAAAGCTTTTTAAAGTAATTTTTTAGTACAAAAATATTTTAAAGCAATGGTCAAAAGCTATTCAAAGCAAAATATCAGTTTTGTTTGTGATAATTTCTTTTATTATATTCTAATACAATTTTCTAGTTTATTTTTTTCAAATAATAAAAAATAGTGACAAAAAATGTCCCAAATAAAGTCTTAATTGGCTACATTACTAGAGTAATATATTCTTTTTTATTTTATTTTTTAAGTTTTTGATGTGAAGTAAGAGAATTTTAAAATAAAATTTTGAGGGATTTAAAATATTCAAGTCCCACTTGTATACTTCTTAAAATTAAGAGAACATTCTTTTTCACTCATGAATGAAAATGAAGATCCTATATATACTAAAATGTATTATATATTTATTTTTATTTACATAAAAAATAAAATTAAATAATATATTCTACACACTATGAAATTCATATTAATTAATGAGATTCGAGTGTGTAAGTGAGTCAAGCTGACTCGTGAGTAGGCTCGGTCTTGACATAATAAATGACTCATGAGCCAAGCTTGATGAGCTTATGAGCCAAGCATGAGCTAGCCTTGACTCAACTCATTAGCTCGTGAGCTAGCTCATTCAAATGATATTAATATAAAATGCAGTTAAAATATATTAACATTTAGAATTTTAAATACAAAGTTGTTAAAAATATTTGAAATTTATATTTTACTTTCTTATATTCACGGATTATATTGTTTAAGTATAAAGTTGTTAAAAACAGTCAAGATTGGTAAACCTGGGCATTATTTTTATCCTTTATATTATAATGATTATTTGCATCATAATTGTTTTTTTTCTCATAATAAACAAGTTCACTCGTGAGCCGCTCAAGCTCGTAGAATAAAGCTCAAGTTCGAGCTCAAACTCATTAATTAACCGAGTTCGAGCTCAAATCAATGGTGATCCAAGCTCAGCTTGACTTATTTACACCCCTAAATACCACATAATGAGACGTCTCAAAATACCAATAATGAAATGTAATTCAATCACAATGTTCGTATATACTTTTAGATAGCACATAATCTATAATTAATATTAATATGTACGCCGCTATTAAAAACTTTTCAACGCCCAATCTACATTTAGGCTTCGTTTGGGATAGTTTTATCACTACTTTCTAAAGCAGCTTTCTAGTAAAAAAAATTGAGTATTGAAAAGGTGTTTTAGAAAATAATAAGAAAATTATCTTAAATGAAACTTAAAATCATTTTTTTCTAAGAAAAATGGATAAATATATAAAAAATAGACTAAGCAAATCTACACTTTAGAAAATATATGAAAATAACTAATATTTATTTACAAAATAATTTAAAAAAAAAATGACCCAAACTTTATGAAATTGAAGATAATGTTACTTTGTGCTAAACGAACTTTTATTTGGTCCGGTGAACGTACGTAGAGCTACGTTCGGCCGGCACTAAGATTGCAGGTACAAAACTAGAAATATCGAGCAATACCAATAATAACGAAAAATATCATTATGTGAAGACAAAATACCGAGTAATACCGAGCAATACTGAGTAATACAAAAAAATACCGAGTTTTTTCTAGAAAAACTCGGTATTTTTTGGTAATACTCGGTATTGCTCGGTATTGGTCTTCCCAGAGTGATATTCCTCTTTATTATCAAACAATACATAACAATACCGACCAAATATCGAGCAAAAATTGAATTCAATTCTTTGACCGAACGTATATCTACGTCCGGTCATAGGACGTAATAAAAGTTCGTGCTAAACCATATAGCACAGGTTTACCAATCCTTCAGATTATATATCAAAGTGGTCGGAAGGCCCAATTTAGTTGGGCCTAAAACTGTAGCCCAAAATTATTACATATGGAACTGCAATGAAGTTGGGCCATGGCATCGAAATAGTGTTGAGTATTGTAACTTGTAAAAATGGCTAAGCATATTCAGCCCATTAAAGACAAGTATAGAGCATGTCATTTGATACAAAATACACCCTAAATGATTTGCTTGGATGGAAGGAAAATGAAGGAAATCATATCAAATTCAAATAATTTATAGGTTAATTACAAGTTTTTGATCATTAATTGAACTTTTCAATTTTAAGTCTTCGTTTGGTACAGCTTTCTTACTATACTTTTTTTTGGAACAGGATATTTATTCACTGCTGCCTCCTATAGAGGCGCATGACAGCGTAACTAATCTTTCGACGAAACCTAGTTGATCCAACCCATAGGCACCGAGCCCACGTTTTGTTACTCCCCTCAAAAGAGACGAGCCGCTTGAGAGGGAATTCTAACTTGGGTTGTGAGATTCCCAACCATGCTAGCCCACCAACCAAGCTAAGCTTGGTGGGTAATTGTACTTTTCAAATCATAACTAAATTTTTATTTGACTACTATTTTTCATATCTTTCAAGATATTTATATGCATGGAAGCTACTTTTTACCACAACTTTAAAAAAAAAAAAATTCCACATTACATATTTATAATCACCTTTAAAAAAATTGCAACCATCACAAACTAATCCTAACATTAGAAATCAATAATTACTTCTTGATTAAAAAAAATCACATTAATTTTCATATAAACAACTAACATATCACTAGTTTAAAAGATCCTACTAGTGAATTTACTCGAAGATCAACCAAATTGCGTACGTGCCCCATGCTACTCGGGTCAGAGCGTAAGCTAGTGATGCTTTCGGCTACTAGACTCTCGCCATCTAGGGTGCAGCACTCCACCGCTTCGCCTAGCAGCATGACGCTTGTATTGCTCTCCACAACCCCGTAAGTAAAAAAATAAAAAAAAAGTGACATGGTGTTATAACATCTTAAAATTGGATGGCTGTCCTAAAAATTAGTAATCCAACTTTAATGTTAAAATTTACTTTCATTTATAATAGTTTGATGGGCATAAATTCTTGCACAAAACTTTAGGTCATGAAGCCTACTTTTCAATTACCAAAGAGGCAATAATAATTGCCCTAAAGACCTACACAATTCCATCACTCACATCATTAACTACTATGGGTGATTCCAAATTTAATGGAGAAAGATTGGAAATTGCTATTAGACAATTACTTTTAGAACATTTTCCAAAAAAATTTATAGAATAAATTCATTATTAAATTTATAATGATTTAATACTGAATTCTTGAGAAAGGCTAAAGTATAATGATTTCTTTAGTTCAAAAAAAAAAAAAGTTTTAGTTTGTATAAAAAATAAATTATTAGTTTGTACATATTTTTATGCTTAATTTCATCCGAAATGATATTTTCTTCATTATATTTAACTGAAAATTAATAAAATACAACAAGAAAAATGATTCATATAATCGACGCGACAATTTTTTTTCGTGGGACATTAGAGCATATTCAGGTAAATTTATACACATCACATGCAAAAACTTCAAACTTAAAACCTCTTAGTTCTAATTCTTAAAGCAATTTCTTAATTTAATTTTTTTAATTTTTGCTAAAAAACAATATGAAAGCCATTTCAAATGAAGCCTAAGGCTTCGTTTGAGACTGCTTTCTTATTGCTTCTTAAAACAACTTTTTAATACAAAATTTATAAGAAAGCTGCTTCAAAGCTGAAGGCCTTAAGACTTAGGCTTCGTTTGGGACGACTTTTCTATTGCTTTCTAATACAAATTTTTTTATTTTTGTACTAAAACTCCGTTTTGAAAATCAATGAAAAAGCCGTCTCAAACGAAGCCTTAATGTGGTTATTGTATTTGTATTCTCAAAATAAATTGATAAAAAATTAATTTCTATTAAATTTGTCATAATCTTTTGACTTAACATTTTTTTTTTCTTTGTATTAAATGAAGCCTAGAAATTAATTCTTGCTCACATGCTCATGCAAACGTATAGTTGTAAAGCAATAAAACGCCATTACTGACCTTAGACGCCTCCCTCTATTTTTGTGACAAATCATTTAATGCCTCAACCAACTAAGAACTCCTCTTTAATTCCTCCACACCAATCTTCTTCCCAACCAACAATTTTTTAAATTTATTTTTTCTATAAAAGAGCGATAATCAGAGAAAGAGAAAATACTTAAGAAATTCAATGTTTGCAATACAAACTGTTAATTCAAAGAATGGAAATTGAACTGATAGAAAGCACACTCCATTTGAACTGATTAGAATGAGATAAAGAACTGTTGGCTGATAATGGCGAGCAGAGCGAGCTGCAGAGATGTGGCTATGGCCGTGGAAGCGCCGCCGCCGCTGGCGCTTGGTGCGGCTGCGATTGAAGTGGCCGGCGCCAGCGGACCTGACCCTGTGGAAGAAAGAATCCATTTCACTGTTTTATTCAATGATATCTGATCACATTAAAATAAAATTTAAATGTAATCTGTAAAAATTAAAATTTTTAAATTATTTTATGATCAATCCATTTTCATCTTAAAATAAATTTCAACAAAATGAAAAGCAAGGCTGAAATTCACCAGCAGAACAGAACTAAGTAAACTGCAGAGAATCAGATCAGAGCAACAGAGTTACAGAGCATGTATTTACCAGAAGGTACAGCTGCGCCGCCGCCGCCGCCGCTAGGCGATAGAGCTCCCGGACTCGCAACCGGAATCCCCAACGCTGCCGGGAAATCATCTAAAGTTAGAAACTTTATAACAAAATGTTAAAATCAAACAAGAAATAAATCCTGATCAGTACCACTGCAGAGAGAAACAGGGGGAGTCTCCACATGGCAGACAGTGGGAAGCATGAGAGCCTTAGTATCATCGATCTTGATTCCAAAAGTATTTGAGGTGGAGAGAAGCTGGCAAAGACAGATTGGGTTGCTGTCGACCAGTCCGGCGAGGGAAGGGCAGCAGCCTTTCTCCGGCACCGTCAAGTTGGCGCCTTGCACAACGAAGCTGAGGCATGAAGTAAGGTTTAGAAGGGCAGTGGTGCAGTCAGGTCCAGTAAACGCCGGAGACGGTGGAAGGGGGGAAGTCGGTGGGAGCGCCGGCGGGAGCGGCGGTGCGGATACCGGCGTGCGCTTTGATGCGTGCTTCGGAGGGTGCGCTGGTGCTGTCGCCGGAGAAAGGGCTCGCGTGTCGGAGATGAGAATGAGTAGTAAGAGTGGGAGGATGGTAGCTCGGCTGGTCGGCATCTTCATTTTCTTGTTCTGCTTCGGCTTCTGCATCTTCCTGATTTAACATAGATATATATGGAGTGAGGGTCGTTTTGGGCGAGTTGGGTCGGGTCGGGTCGGGTTATGTCTTGATAAGATTTTTAAGTACCGTACTAACTATTTTTTATAATTTTATTTTTCATACAGTTGTCATGATAATTAAGAATCATTAGCTTCAAGAAAATAATTATTAATTTTTTATTTATGATATATTTATTAAAAAAAATATTTTTAAATAACAATTCAACACTTATTTTAGGAATAATTATTAGGGGTGGATCCAACTTTTTTTAGGATAGGCAAAAATTTTTTTTTTTTGTAGGAAATGGGAAAAGACATTTAGGATTTATAAAATTAAGACAAATTTTTTTTTGAGAGAGGACAAAATACTCAAAATATTTCAAAATATACCCTCTAAAATTTAAAAAAAAAAAAATAAGGGTAGCATTTGCTCCTCGCCAAATCCAATGGGGATCTGCCCATGATAATTACATTCATCTCAAACAAACACTAAGTTAAAAGAAACTATAACAAAAATTATAGTTTTTGAAAACTATTAAAGAGTTTATATGAGCACATAAAATATTGTGATTTATATATTTAACAAAAAAAAAATTATCATTTGCATATATAATCACTCAAAATATAAAAAGGATAACACCGTCATTATAAGCCCTAAGTCCAATCATCATCATAAAAAAAAGGTCCAATCATCATCTTGTTGTTGCTAGTATCACCCTATGATGGTGCTGGCAAACGTTGTAGGCGGAATTCGAAAAAGAAGTAATTGATTCTTTTGGCCTGTGTCATTTGCTGTTAGAGCCTCCTATTCATCTTGTTTTGCTTTGTTGGCTGCTGTGTGTTTTCAATTGTGAGCCTTTTTTTTTTTAGTTCGGTCAATGATGAGATGAACTTCTGCACAACCATTGGATGGTCTAGGCTTGTTGGCAACCATGCTGGCTCTTTCTCTCATTCTGATTAATGGCCTTTGTTTGGGATATGAGATGATGCTTGGTTTGTGCTTGCTACCTCCAATGGATGGTCCTTACTTGACTTCTAGATGGTTGTACTAAGGCCCATGCAAGTTCCTGAGTCCATCTATTATTTGAATTGATTTGCTGATTATAGCTTTGTATTTTTTTGGTTTTTCTCTTTTGGGCTTGGTTGTATTGTCCTTTTTAGTGAATGAATTTTGGAGATGTTCCCTTAAAAAAAAAAATAGTATCACCCTTCAATATTGGATCCATCGAAGTTCTAATGCCACCCAGTAATAATTGTTAAGCCTTTACACTCTATCTTATTTCATTCTCCGTTTATATCTACTTGCTAACAAGTTAAATTCTCAACTATCGATTTATTGTCCGCTTTGACCTAATAACGTCACGATTTTGTCAGATTGGTATAACTACCTAGAGGATTGCTATGACATAAGCGCACTTAACTTTGAAGTTTATTAATAAAATTCCAATCAATACACTAAAACGTGTCTTTACTTTTAAGAGTTTAGTTTATTTTTACTTAAGGAATTTCACATGCTCTTCCCCTCCTTCACTCACGGGATCTTACAATCGAAGGCATCGACGAGCCCAAGCATTGCAATTTGGAGTTTCCATCGCAGATCGACGAGCCCATGCACAAAAGCTCACATCATAGGGAGAAGAATTTGATAGGTCCAATGATGACCCATTCGAGTTCTAACAAGTTCTGATGAATGTCAACTAGATTCTTAATAGAGTGCTAGGTGATATAAATATTAAATTTTGGATGTCAAATATGTAAATCTTAATGCTTTGAGTGCCATATATGTAAATCCCTAAAATTACTATGGTTTGTATATTTCATTTTCAGGAAAACTTAGGTAATAGCCTTCTTCCAATTACGACTATGATTTTTTTTTTTTTTTGACGAGTAAGCACTGTCCTTAGACCCGTGAAAATCCCAGTCGACCTAGCATGCAATCCACACCAATTTACACGGGCCAACGCTTTAAGGCTTTCACTCCTTGCCAAGGGCGACTATGAATTTAGCTCGAGTATTACACAAAAAATCAAATCAATTCTTAGATCGGATCGAGTTCAGGTAGAAATTAATGAGTTGATTAATAAGCTAAGTCCGGCTCAAATCAAACAATTAAGCTAAACAAGATTTAGATCAAGCTAACTCTACATAGAATAAAAATATATATGTAATAAATATGCTTACACTTTTCATATATATTATTAAATTAAGTATTTGCCTTAACATATAAAAAATTAAGCATCATTAGATCAATTTTTGCTCGAATCAAACTTAATGAGCCATATATCGAACGAATTGAGATCAAATCAAACCTATTTTAACTTGATTCGACTCAACTCGAGATCGAATCTAACTCAACCAGAGGCCGTATCAGCTCGAGATCAAATCGTTAACAACCCTATTAACCAAAAGGCTCTTCTCATCATAAAAACATAAAAAAGTTTGCTTATTTGCTACCAACAAGAAATCAAATGGATCCTAAAGGAGCATATGGAGAAAACATATTGGAATGGTAAATCACAGACAGGCTTTAAAACTTTCTCTTTTGTTTCTCTTCTGTTTACATCATCAGCAGCAGAATTTAGAAAGCCAAATGCAAAAGGATTGCTTCAGATATAAGATCAAATCAAAGAATCAAAACTGTATGAAAAGTACTTCTTTGTGATGCCTACAGTTTATGGTTTCTTGTTGTGGAGAGGAAATAATTTATAACTGTGAAAGGAACTTACAAAGCATTAATGGCACCAAGCTGCAGATGGAAGAAGAAAGGGTTAAGGCATTTATTGAGATGTCTTTTTTTAACAGCTTCGCTGTGTTTTTCAATTGAGTAGGTTCACATGTCTTTGACTCCTCAAAATTTTTATATTTATTTGATGAGTATTTTTAGAACTTTGTGGAGCCAAAAGTAGATTTCAAAAAAATTTTATAGGCACGCAGCTCATAGGCACGCAGCTCATTATGGTCTGTTAGTTAGGAGCTTTGGCTATCAACTAAAAAATCTTTGGTTCAAGTCTTACGTATTTGATGTGTGCGTGAATTTATATTAATTGGCTTAAATGTCCCGCCTCAATAAATAAATAAATTATATATACTCATTTGATTGATTAATTATTCTATGCGGATGCTGAACGTCATCCAGAGACCAATCAGAATGCGCCACATTACCCCTTACTTAGTACCGCTAACGTGGCACATTATGGTTGGTCTCCGGACGGCATTCTATGTCCGTCGTCCGCACAAAATAATTTCTCCATTTGATTGGTCCTATATAGAAAATATGATGAACCACCTAAATGAACAAGTCATTTTAGTTTTCACCATAATAAATTTCCAATTGTCTAACTTAAAAAAAAAAAAAGGAGTGATACTATGCTTAACATAATATATGTAGAAGAAATAAGATCAAAGAAAAAATTTACCAAAATAAAAAATTTAAGCTTCATATTAATATAAAATTTTTCTAAAGCTAAATAAGTAAATAGTCACACTTGCAATGAAATGTGCCTTGATTTTTTTTTCTTTACTTTAGTGATTTCTTTTATTATTCAAATATATTATACACATTTCACTTTTACTTGATAGTGCTTTAATTTTTATTCAAATTATTGAAATGTATTTGCTCTATTTAAATTATGATTGCTCATTAATTTTTATGTGGTTTAAATTTTTTTGTATGATTTTTTCAATTTTATTTGAGTCACTTGAATTGTAATTCTCAAATTTATAATATACACTTAAATAAATAATTTTTTTTTTACTTATTTAATGGTTTTTTTTATGTAAATTCTATATTTGCTTGTATGATTTACATATATCACATAATTCTAATTATATAAAAAAAACTTTGTTAATTTAATTTAATTTAATGAGTATAAATTGGATATTTAATACCAACACAAGTCCTACTTTTTCTTATTTTAATTTTTCCAAATAAAATAATTTGGCATTTATTTGACTACCATTTCTAATTTTATTCAAATAAAAATATTAAATTTTTAATTTTTCAAAAAAAAAAAAGATCAAAGCATGTATTACAGAATAGATGAATGCAATTGAACTGAACAAAGACAATTTTTCAAAAAAAAAAAAAAAGATCAAAGCATGTATTACAGAATAGATGAATGCAATTGAACTGAACAAAGACATCACAAACAAATTCACCAAAAATATTGGAAGAGTTAGCAATGCGAAACATGAAACTAGAAAAAGCTAAAGTCCGCAGCTCACCTTGATTTATTAGTAGGGAGCTTTGACTACCAATCATATGTGATGTGTGTGCGAGTTTGCCGTAATTGACCTAAATGTCTAAGAGAGAGAGAGAGAATAAGCTAAAGTCGACTAGTTTCATAAAGGCTACCCTTCAATTGAAGAGCAGAACAAAATCTCTACAATTGTCCAAAAAATAATAACCATTTGATGAAAGAAAAATTGGTTCATCCTAATGATATCAGATGGCCGCCGAGAGCTCTAATCTCAAATCTGATGAGTTCAATCTGTGATTTTTCTTAAAGCACAAACAATAAAAAGATTGCCGGAAAGTCTACAGGTGAAGTAATCAACAGAGCTGGCTGAGTTGATGATGATCTGTAGGTGTCTAAGAGGCACAGAAACGCTGGTTTTTTCAAAGAACAAATGCCTGTTTTTTAAATTCACTCTCCAACGGTCATACCAAAACCAAACTTGTAGTCTTTCTTTCTGTGATCGACCTGGAAAGAAAATTTCATTTAGAGGATTAAGGGAAGACAATAATATGGTATGGTTAAGCAGAGATTGTATATGTTAGAAATATAGAGCAACTAGAATACTGAAAAATGTGGAGAGTTTTACTCTCTTATCACTTATATGAAGGGTGGGCGGGGCGAGGAAGGAGATAGGCGCGGCGGCGGTGAGATGGATGCAGAAAAGACGATGCGATGAGGGCATGTCGACGTGAATAGGCGACGGGGCAATGTGGCACAAGATTTGGAAAGAGTTCTATTTGAGGGTTTTCTAAATGCATGGAAAATAGGAATTTTGAGGTATTTAAAGCACCTAAAAATTTTAGTTTGAATTTTTTTGTTAAACATCACATAAAAATGTTGAAATATAGATAAATGAAATGAAGTAAACTCCTAAGGCCTTCTCCAACCGAACTCCAAACACATGAATGACGTCGCTCGCGACCTCCAACCGAACGACAAAACTTCCGGTATTTGGTTGTGGGTGAATAGTGCGACGTCAATATTGATGTTGCACTGTTCACCTGCGTTATTTTTCTGTTTTTACTAGATTTGCCGAAGAAACGCGCGAAGGAGAAAGACGGTTACCTGGGCGCAAAATGGAGCTCGATTGGAGATGAATGACACCATTTTTTGTTACACTAAGGGCATCTCCAACCGAAAGTCCCATTTTCCACTCTAAAATGCCGTAAAATTCAAAATGCAGTAGTTCGTCTCCAATGGAACTACATTTTTCTTTTTTCGCACACTTCTTTGCGAAGGTAATCATCTCTCTCCTGTTTCGCACGCTTCCTACGAAGCTAAGCAGAGTGCGAATATAATCATTTTTTTTTTGCGTTAAGAGAACAATCCAACGCCAGTATTGGCGTCGCACTATTCACCTACCGATTTTTTGTGTGAGATTTGGAGTTCAAATGCAACGATTCGCAGACTGCATACAATGATAAGCAGTTCGGTTGGAGATGATCTAATGCTTCTGACCAAACATCCTTTAAGAAATTTACTTTGTTACTAGACCTTATTTTCAAGAAAACAGAAAACGATACACTTACCTCTGCAGAAAGAATGAAGTTTACACCCATGTTCAGCCTTTCTTCCAGAAATGAGGACACGACGCCGTTTGAATCAATTTTGCCCCTTAGACGACACTGCAATATGATTTTTAAAGAATGTAAAATTCAATGCGTTCGAATATTTGTATGATTTTAATTAAAAAGATGCAGAACAACAACAACAACATAAACTGGTCTCAAATCTAAATGATTCAAAGAATAAATAACGGTACCAAACAGACAATTCAAAGCCCAAAGGAGTTCAAGATTCTAGACGTTGTGTCAGAGCCTCAGAGGGATTATTAGTCATCAAAATTTTAAAGACTTGGTAAATGATATTTTGTCCATTTCTATCATAGTACATGCGAGTATTAAGTTGGGTTTTATATCATATAGTTGAAAACAATAAATTGATATAGAAATATGAAGCGGTTGTTGGCCCTAGCAGGCAGAAACTTTTTGGGAGAAAAATGAGTTTGACCATTGGCATATCTAGCTTAATTTGGATCCCCCTTTGGCTCTCACATTCTAAAAAGTGTTATTGCAATCAATGGTTCAGCTGAAATCAAATGATTTATGTGGTTAATGATTTCCATTGATCTTTGGTAAGCAATGACTTGGACAGAAGCTTTACGCAATTGAATTAGAGCTTAGTACTTGATACTTAATGATGTTTGAAAGCTTTTGTTTGAGAAAGAGTGATAACAAATGTAGAGAACGCTCGCATGAAAGAAAGATTGTTAAAGCACATGAAAATATTAGATATAATTCCACATTAAAGTTACTGAAAAGCATGCTAGTATAAAATATAGAAGTGATTGCCTCTCACCCAGGCATATAAACTTTTAGGCTAAAAAATAAATTTGACAATTAGTATATCTAAACCAACTTCAATCGCATTTAGTCCCCTCTCGCTAACAATGATCTACATAAAATGTCATAAAAACCTAAGATCACTAGGCCAAGAGGTTACAGTTGCCATACAGAAATATTTAGTGCCATGCAGAAAAAAAAGCTATACCTGTCTGAGAATGTAATCATAACCAAAACTAGCTGTTACATCTCTGGTCATCTGATTGTACATGAGGTCCGATGCAAAGGAAACCTGCAATAAATGTTAATCAGTTATAACATATATGATAAGGTACAGGAGAAGGGACACCTAAAAATTTTCACCTTCTCAGATACTTTCTGGACATAACTTAGCGCCACAACTCCGGTGCTTGCAACTTGCCCAGTTGCAACCTGCATTGATCAGAAGTTCACTATGTCATAATTACACCGCATGTCTTGATAGTTTCGAGCCATATAAACTTGCTGATGGCACTCCAGCATTAGATATAAAATATGTTTTTTCATGACAGCGCTCTTTAGAATTTAATTTAAACTCCACTAAACCTTTAAACAAGCAGCAGCAGCAGCATTTGCTGCGTAATATTATGTTATTTGTAAGATGTTAGTAGTTTACTTTACCTATATTTTTAAATAACGAATTCTTAAATGAATTTTGAGTCCAATTTTCAGGACATTTAAACGTCTCTCAAACTAAGATAATCTAATAGTCAAAGGAATCTGCTCAAGATCCTATGTAAAAAGGATACAGAAAGAACCAGCATACCATTTTATCTGTGTTGTAGCGAGCAGCAAAACCAATGCCAGACTTCCTCTGATGACCAAGCCAAAAGACTTCACCACCTAGTGATAAATTTGGAGTAACGCTCTACAGAAGATTTCAGCAACTTGGTCAGTGCTGCAGGATTGACATAATGATATCAACAAAATAATAAGCTTTGCTGCCATAACAACCTCAAAGAAATTTTCAGAACTTGCACATACAACTGAAAGAGAATCCTAATAAGGGGGTACAAAGTACAAGAAAATCCAAAGTAAATTATTTTCTATTAAGCTACATAATAATAATTGCATGACACCAAAAGTCCTGTGAAAGTTATTTCAGCTAAACTAAAATCATGTATCAATCAATCGTAACCACAAAAGTGAAAAACATTTATGCCCATGAAAGTAACTAGAGATCTGCCAAAATTCAATGGTCCAGTGTTGTAAATCTGAAAATCTATGCTCATAAGATATCAAAAATTCTGCTTTGATATACTCACAGTAATTTTATTTTCCTTTTTCTAAGTTGTTGCAAAACGTGCCTAGGATGAAGATCTTAAGGAATGAGTTGCGTTCACTAAAATTTGTGTTGTTTTATTTCAGTTGTTAGGATCTCTGGTTCCCGTACACCCGTTGGTATGCTCTTAATTCAGCCGCTTGAATCCAGTTCTCTGTGGAGTACTGCTCGGTTGCTTACTGCTGTTCATGTTTTCTTATTGGGAAAGTAAACAAGGCCACTGCTCCATTTCCTTATATGGTTGATATACGCATCAACACTAGCCCTTCTGAATATTGCTTGTACTGATCGCACTGTGGAAGGGACAGTCGTTATTGTCCTGTAATTTTAGTACTTGCAGGGCGGCACCATAGAGGAATAAAAAATTGTTGTTTGGCTATAATTTATTTAAAATTTGCTGTTTATACTGTTCATGGATGAAAACTTGTTTTGAAAATTTAGGCCAGATTTTGTGAACCTATCAATTGTAAGATTAATTGGATTGTAAAAAGCAGGGTCTCTAGACATATAAAAGGCATTCGATGGTTAATTAAAATTATATATTTCCTTTCAAACTTGTATGGATCAGACACTTTACTTAAAAACATTTCCTATAACCAATCTTATGGAATAAGACCATCTCAAGAGATCCGAAAGGTCTAGCGAGCAAGAAACATAATAAGAAGACACCTATGAAGAATTATGAGATGGTCTTGGTGGGCTCACTCACTCGGCATCCATCTTATCGAGTGAAATCTGACGAGAAAGAGTTATTTACATGTTTAGGCTGCTGAGTCAAGATGACCAACAGACAAGATCCAGACTGTTCAGCTTCAATCTTATCGGATTCGGGCCGACAAGACAACTCAACCGATGACAAGTTGTTATGGCGCCATTAGAGCTAGCATCCTGGATGTGGCTTATTGAAGTCTTTCGGCCAACAAGACTAGGTCAGCAAGATTGACTGGCGACTATAAGCATCCAACCAAGAGCATGGTGTCCTCTGTTGTTGGGTTTTGCTTGACCAACAACCCACTCCATGAAATGTGTCAAGAGTCAAGATCATGTTCTGACATATCATCTAAGCTTACATTGAACATGGATATAGTGACCCATGTTAGAAGAAATATGTAAAAAAATATATTACTTAGTGTTAAGTAGCTGTAGAAGAGTAATGGCAACACCAATGAGGAACAATAGAGGATCCAGGGTGACTACTCCGGTCAAGCCCACATGAAACCCCAATGGCTTGAGCTCGTGTATCAACTTACCAACTAGGAGAAGCCAAAATTGGTGATAAATACTTTCTATTTTGGCAACAGACTCCTGATTACATGGATAGATTCAGGTTCTATGCACTCATTCTTGAATCACCATGTTAAATTATAGAAGTCAATGCACAACCATTCGAGTCCAATCTAATGGTCCTATTGCTGATGAGAGATGGCCTTCAAGACTAAGCATTTATCTTTCTGTATGTAATTTCTAATTGAATCTTGCATTATCTTAGAGATGGATTTATTTCCATGGATTTCAGAGAAAGGAATGTTTAGGTTTCAAGGGGAACTAAGATTTTTCTTTCACAAGAACAGACATGTAATCTCTCTGATCATCTCGACACTCAAGTTCACACGACTAGTTGAAAGGGGTTGTCTAGCTTACCTATGCACTTCTATAACCATGGCAGGAAGGTTGACAAGAATGGAAAGAATACCGATAGTATGCGATGTCTTTCCAGCCAATCTCCTTGAGTTGGCACACGACATGAACTTTATCTTTGATTGATGTAGTTCAAAGGGTGACACCTATAATGAAGTGAGTTGAACAAATTGAAATGAAAACTAAAATATTTGTCAGAAAAGGGCTTCACCCAACCAAGTGTATCACCATAGGGGGCGGTAGTATTGTTCATGAGGAAAAAGATGAGAAATTTGAATCTACATAATTAGGGCTCAAATAAAGTGATGGTTAAGAAAAAGTACCCATTATCGAGTTTCAATGACATTTTAGACCAACTTCAGAGTGCAAAAGTTTTCTCTAAGATTAAGTTGAGGTTTAAATACCATCAACTCAAAATCAAGCAAAAATCTCAAAGATGCATTTCAAACTCAGTATGGGAACTTTTGTAGTGGTAAAGACAAAAGCTTGAAATGATCTAAGTTTCTTGGCAGATGAAGAAGCAGTATCAACCAACAAAAATTCTCCTTTTTTGATTTGTTGCAAAGAATTCATCAATCTCATGACTGAATTCTAGCAATGCCTACTTGGGGTCGATATCAATGAATAGATGAGACTCCTAGCCTCAAACATTATAGCTACAAGGGTCCAATTGGCAATTTTAATCTCCATAGAAGTTGCCTTGGTAGGCTTATTAATGAGAATGATCTCTTCAACCTTTTATATCTTGATCAGCTCTAACGAGATGACCGCCACAATTCTCTCTAACATTTTTGAGATTATTGCTCAAAGTTTCTTCATAATCAAATATTTGAAAGGAGAGTTGGAGGACCACCTGTTAGAATCAACTTTGAGATGGCTTGTTCTATGGTTACCTCCTAAGTTGATTAGGTGAAGTAGTGTAGCCCTTAAAAGAATTTCCCTTGCCAAATATTGAATGACGTCCTAACAAATTTCAAGGCTCACTTGAAAGCAAAAAATTTGGTGCTGCAATTCACCAAAGAGATCTCAAGCAAAAGGATAAGTGAATCCATGCCATAGCCTTCAACATGATAGCAACAAATTGGACAATGAAAACTTTCAATGGCCAGCACAAGGACCAATGTTCCATTGAAGTTTTCCAAGTGTTCTATGGGGCCGTTAAACCCTTTGTACTAATCTAGCAAGGGTGGCTTGAGCTTCATCGATGACTCTTTAAGGATCTCAAAGGAAAAAAAAAAAGAGGAATCAATCACATAACCATCGAGCAGGTGGTGGAAAGAAGGTTCCTCCATAAGTTGTTATCCCAGTCAATCAACAACCATAGAAATGTATGGTGTTGGGGTGCAACAAAGGGGTTGGCATCAAGGGAGACACAAGCCATGCGCCATGTTAGTAGCATTCTATGGTAGAGTCGGGGCTTCAAAATTGACTCTTGCAACTAGAGTTAGGGTAGTAGGATGAAAAGTTGCTTGAATAAAGAGGTAAATCTTCCAAGGGAGCTCTTAAAACTGTGACATTGTAACTTAAGTTTTAGCTAGATGTGATGAACCTTCGACTGCATTGCTATTAAAGGCATTAAACAAGTTGGTTGCGATAAATGGCTATAGAAACTTAAATGTTCTTCCATCAAGTTTTTCGAACATAGTTGAGATGTATCAAGGAGCACCATAGATGAATAGTGGATAATCGGTAGAAGGACCAACATACAATATTTAACCCAAGTCTAATTTATTCACTGAGAAAGGGAGAAAACCAAGAAGAAGAAAGGATGCAAAGGGAGTTTAGCACTCTAGCATGTTTAGTTGTTGATGGAAAGTTAGTCTGAGGTAGGAGAGAATAGTAAATAACATAAAGTGAGAAGAAAAGACAACACACGAATTTTTAAGTGGTTCGACATTGTTGCCTACATCCACCATAAGGAAGATAGTAAAATCTTCATTATTCAGTGGAGAGATTATATCACTCTGTTTACAAGCTATATCTCTCTCTATGAAGGGAATGGATTGAATTCCGAGGTTGAGTTCTTATTTTAGTCATCTAATCTTCCTACAATAAAATAAGGAATGGATAATTTATAGGCACAAGGAAGGTTGAGCGAGGTGCGTGTGAACAACTGCACATGGTTGGTACATTATAGCATGGAAGGGATCATAATTTGTGTTAGAGAACAACAATGTAGTCATTATTTTATACCTGAAGCTGTGACATGACGCCTTCAGGATGTTGGATTAAATGAAGATGATGATTGTTGGCGTATAGATGAAAAGATAGAATCTTTTAGGTTTGAGGAATAAACCTGATATGGTGCATCCAAGAGCTCCGGGCATATATGTTGGGAGTTAAACATGTTAGTGCCCCCTTAATAATATGATTGATATTTAACCAATTGAGGGGAATGCAAATTGGTAGATACCTCACAGAGCAGGAAATGACTTGGATTAGCACTGGTTCCTCCTGGATTTCATTCAAAATCTATGCGACTAGTACTAGCAAATCAACCGAAGAAAAATTCAAAATGCTTATTTAAAAGTGAAGGAATTCGATGAGGCATGCGAAATAAGGCATTATGGTGGAGCAAAAAGATTAAGCCATCAAGTTTATTTGTCCTACAAGCAGGAGCCAAACTAATTAACTTCTAATTGATTGGATTCAGGATGTCATGATAACACACCTAATGGTAGAGTTGTCTTGGCATCTCAAATATGGCTTATTGTAGTTTTGGGCCAACCCAACTAGGCCGACTAAATTGATTTAGCGATGTTGGGATACCACAAATAGTATGGATTTGCCTAACTGAATTGACTCAGCCCAATGTCACTTAGTTTTGTCTGATAAATAGCTCACTCCATCAAATGTGTCCTAACCAATTTCTAGCACATCAATCAAAGGTGAAAAGGAACATGGATAAAGAGAACCGCATTGGTGGGCAAATGAGGGAAAATATATGACGTAACATCATACAACCATTAGAAAAGGAATGGATAGGTGGATGTACTGTGTAAAGTGGATCTAACATCTCTGAGCCGCCATGTGCGAGCACAAATAGTTATCACATGTCACACCTCCTTATAAAGGACCAAAACACAAAGGGAATGTATTATTATAGCGAAGGCACTGCGGAGAGACTATTTTTGTGAAGTCAACTCAACATGAATGATGACCTAGAAAATGAGGAACGAACACTGAGCCTTCAGGCCTATAGCAAAAGTGAGAACTTTGAACCTATATTTATTAAATTTTCATGACAACCATAACTTGTCTATTTTATGAGTTTCCTTCACTATCTGCACTAATGACCTATAACCTATAAGTTTCCCTTTTATGTTTAATGCTTTTGTAACAACTTTCTTTCATGCATATACTTGCATCTCTGATAATTTATATGCATGAAATCGACATAAAGAATGAAACAACTGATAAATGAACTGTGTAACCAATGATATGAAATGCTTGCACAAAAATAGTGCTTAGTTTAAATACCTGAGATGTATTGTAGTGCAACAGGTCAATGGGTCAAGAATAGATGTTCTCAACTCTCAAGGAATGATAATTATCGCAAGCACGAAAATGTCAACTCTCTATCAAGGGGATTGATAGATGTAAGTGTCAACTCTCTATCAAGGGGATTGATAGATGTTGAGGCACAACACATCAGTAAAATGCACCTAAAAAATAAGCACATAGCATGTATGATGCCACTAACTTTATATCACCATGTTGCAATGAGTTGTTGCAAGGTTTTGATGCTTTATAGTTTTTTATTCACATATTCCAGTTTCCTCATAATTTCTCTCCCTTAAGTGATGAGCAACTACTTGGTGGAGCATATGAGAAGTTAGAAATACAAGTAATTCAGTTTAATACATTTGATTTGAGAATCAAAACAAAGAAATTAGGCCTAAATTTAACATACAAATGCACATTAAGTACCATATCATTTGAAAGAGTCTAAAGTCTCTTTTCATTACTTGAAATTATAAAACATATTTTGAAAAAATGCTAAGTTTATTGGATTTCATCATTTAGTTGGATCTACTTAGAATCAATATGAATTTTAAATTTTTTAAATACCTTCAAAATCATTTAGAAGAACTAAAAAAATGAGATTTTCATTTTTCATATTCAAAATGAGTGAAGAAAAAATAATTTATAAAAAAGGAATCCCTTAAAAATGGTAAACTTAATTAAAGCGGATCCCAAAAAGGAGGAAATTTTCACAAGTCCACTATAACCTCATATTACAAACCATTAATTAAATGCAATAGAAAAATACCATAGAATGAATACCTTCTATTTAAGAAGGCTTTCACTGCAACTGTCTTGAGTGCATATCGTCAAACAAGCCAAGAATACTAATAAAGATCCTTAAATCCAAAAAAAATTCAAAAACATTCGCATTCGAAAAAAATCAATACTTTGATTCAGAAAAAAGGACAGTTGCATTATTCTAAGGACAGAAAACAAGAACTCAATCCCATCAAAGAAATCACAGTCACCATAAGTGTTCTAATTGAGGATCTAAGATATATATTAACATGGTTCTAAAATTAATGCCAAAGTGCATACAATAATGCTCTCAAAGAAAGAGTTTATAACAAGGTTAGGTCCGTGTTATATTGTGGTTGTATTTTACCTGTATATAGTTGCCACCATAAAAGGCATTGTTTCCAATTTGAAATTGAGTCCGGAAATCTGAACCCTGCATACAAGTGCAAAAGAATAGCTTTAAAATGAGGCAATTATGGAGTTAAAAATGAGACGAGTATAGGCAAAGTGGTTTAAGCATGAGAACGCCTTTACTAAAAAATTCATATTGTTGCTACGGGAAAAGGCATTTCACATGAATATTTCTTTATTTTATAAACCAAATGCCAAAACCACCATTGAATGATGAAGGCAGAGAGTTGATAATAGGTCGATGACAAATCATAAAATTAATGCCAAACTGATGAAATTAATCTGAATCTGAATTTTAATGGTGCTCGAATGAGCTGCAACAAAATCCATTTATGGCGTGAATCAGGCAAGTGCTTGCTGATGTTACCTATAAGTAAAACACTGTAGCTTAAGCCTTAAATGCATTTGTGGTAAACTGTGGGGAAGGACTGGTTGAAATTTCATCACAAACAACAGACCACAACCTAAACCATTTGTGATAAAAAATAAGTAATATTTGACTACGTCTAAAACTAAGATTATATTTACCACATGAAATTTGGGATTTGAATAAAAAAACAAGAGAAGTGATGGACACAGTCATTAAAAGAATAATAAGCATTGCTTTTCTATAACAAAATAAATAGAAAGGAGAAAATTCGAGTACATTGGGGTAAGCTATTATATATTGGAAAGATTAATAATAGAAGTTGGAACTGGGATAATAGTGGATATAGATTTGAAAGAAAAAATTCTTGAGATAACTAGACTTAGAGATAAGGTGATTTCTATTAAGAAAATAATCTCTGACATTATAAATTTGGTTAGTGTGTATGAACCTCAAAGGTTTGATATAAAAAAAAAATTTGGGAAGAGGTAGATAGAAACTACAATAATGTATACTTGATGAAGAAAGAATGCTTATTGGTGGTTACTTTGAACATATTAATTTAAATAGAATGAACTAAGAGATGATTCATGAGAAATAAAATTGGAGCTATAAAACAAAGGGATAAGTTATTCTCAATTTTATAAAAACTTGCGATTTCAGAATGGAAAACACATACTTTAAAAAATAAGAAAAAACTTTTAATTTCTTTCAAAAGTGGAACAACAAAATCACAAATAGACATTTTTAATCGGTAACAAATGCTTTAGCGAAAAATATAATGTGATTGCAAGAAAAAGTTTTACTTAAATGTATGAAGAAAACAATTAAAAAAAAATCGCTACCATGAAGTGATGGAGTTTGATAGGCTAGAAGTTATTAATATTTCAAGAAAGGTTGTAACAAGAAGAAAATTAGAACTCTTTAGTTTAGCCAAACCTGACAGTATAAAATGGGTAGTTCCACTGAGAAGATTTTCATATGAGTTTAGAGTCCATGAACAAATCTTACACTAACAAGAAGTCAAGAGAACGGAGTGAAGGGGTCAAAAATATGTTAAGAAAAAAAAAAACATTTCAGAGAGTGGCAATGATTAAATACAATTGCGGCTTATAATGATTTCAAGACAGCTAAAAGTTTCGACAAATGTTTGGTGAGTGAAGCACAAGCTACAGCATTTGATGAAGCATTATAGGTTGGGCATTAAACAGAATGAAGATTTTCAAAATAATAATTCAAAAAAGGAAAAGAATTCAAGATTTTGATAAATTTAGATACATTAAAAGCAAAGAAAATAGGATCTTAGTTATAGATAAAAAAGATCAAAAAGGATGGAACACAGCTTTAAGGACTTAATGAGAGTTTTAAGGAAGACATTGTTTTAGAAGAGCGTAGTAAGAAAAAAAATTTTACATTAGATATTGACCTAAAAAGTGAAGTAGATTTAGCTCTAAAAAGATGTAATAAATATAAATTTTAGGTCCAAATGTGATATCTTGAGATGGGAATAATATGAGGGTTATTGCGACGGTTTGATATATAAACATTCACGAAATTTAAATAACTAAAAGACGTCAAATGTTTAAAGATTAAGCAATTTTTAAGAATAATGAATAATATACTATAAATTATAGAAGAACTAAAACTTACGAGTCCCATTATAAAGCTAGGAGATAAAATAACAAGACACATACTTACAGAAAATAACATCAATTTTGTGCCTTAACAACTAATGAAAAACTACAGAGCACAGATAAAGAATCTTCATATGGTTTAATCAATCTTGAGAAAAATATGACCTAGTGCTAAGAGAACTTATTTGGTGAACATTAAAGAAAAAAGGCATACATCAAAGGTGTGTTGACCTCAATAAAGATAGAAATGATGAAATACCAATTAGTATTAAAAGTAATTATGGACTCGTTAACATTTTCTAATTACAACAAAAATAAGTCTAGAATAAACAAAGTCAATACGTTCCTCTAAAGTTTATTAAGATGCAATGGATATTAAAAGTGGTCTCATGACGTATTCATTGTAAAGATAACACAATTCTAATAGGTGAGGCATCTACGATAATAAATAAAACGTTAGAACTTAAAGAAAATATTTAGAAGATAAAATAAATCATAATGAATAGAACAAAAGTTGAGTATTTGCAATTTTAGTTGTTGTGATATTAGCAATAATCAGATAATCTTATTGAAAGATAAAATGATATCGGCACAAGAAAAGTTTAAGTAATTTGGATCTATTATAGAGAAGAATCAAGACATATAAGAATATGACTTTTTGGGTTAAAGCTAAGTGGTTAGAATATTTTCTGATACGAGAATATCAAGAAGACCTAAGGATAAAATATTATAAAGTACTAATTAGGTTCGATGAAGTTGTTGTATGAATCTAAGTGTTGTCTAAGAAAATCATTGATCACTATGTTGAGCAAGAAAAAAATAAGAATGTTAAGATAAATGTGTGATAAAACTAAGAAGAATAAATTAATGAATAATAATATTATATTAATGATTAGATTGACATTAATCGAATATAAAATAGATGAAAATAGTCTCAAGGGATTTGAAGATGTACATTAAGGAAAGAGAAAAAAATGCATTCATTAAAAGAATAGATCTAAACTCATTCAGGACACAATAGGAATAAATGAAAAAATGGGATTTCATAAAGCAAATGATGGACCGGGAGAACCGGCCCCGCCTGGACAAGTGCGGGTCTATAGGCGGAAGAAAAAAGGGGAGGGGGCGGGCTGGCTGGACCAAAGGGACCCACCCACTTAAGTGGGGGTATTTTGGGGATGGGAGGGATTTTTCAAAGGGTATGAAGGGAGCCATTAGGGTTTAGTTTTGGGCATTATGAAAAGTGTAATCTCTTTCTAGTTTTCTTCTTCTAGTTTCCTTCTTGTTCTTTTCTAGGGTTTTCTTGTGGGAGATCTTGTCCTTCTCGAAGTGGACAAACTTATCTTGTTTTCTCTTGGATTTCTAATGCAAAGGTTCTTATTTTTCATCCCAACAATCTTGTGATTATTTCTCTTTGGTTTTGGTGGAGAACTTCCTCTCTTTTAGAGGAAATTAGGGCAAAACCGAAATTGTGAAACCCTAGGGCGTATCAGCAAACCACAATTAGTTGGAATAAGACTGATAATGAAAATGATTACAGCCTAAATGCACTTTGAATAAACAATAACTTTGATAATATAATTTCGAAGGAATCTACATAACTATCAAATAACATAACTTAAAATAATTTCAAAATACATGAATTCATCTAATTATCTAAAAAGGGGATTTGGATAGTGATAAAGGACACACAGACTTGATCTTCAAGTATAAAGAAGCGAAGAATAGAAGTTCAAAAAGTAACTAAGAGAAGGTTGTAGCTAATGATGATTATGATTACAAAAAAAAGACATCTAAATTTAGAACCATAATCGATTGAAGGTAGGCAATTTCTCCTTTTTTTTTTTTTTTTTTTTTTTTTGAGATCCTGTATAGTTAAGGACTCTCAAAACTAGACATTTGCTACCTATCTTCCAAAGTGATGCAAATTTTGAAGTTTATTTTAGTCAATAACATAAGAAATGAGCATTGAGGCAAAGTTTGAAATTGTGCAATCAGGTGTTCAGGCACTATCTATGAGACAAGGCATAAAGCTTAAGGTGTTTTGTGATGTAAGCCTTAACACTAGATCATTAAATTAATAAAAAAAGAGAAATAATAAGTAACATGTTAACATCTAATTAAAATATCAAAGTAAGATTTCCACAATCGATTCACAATAAACAAGTAGTTTAACTCACTAAGATTATAATCTATGAATTCAAAAGTCTCTCTCACTCTCATCAAGTAGTGGTTTCATTAGAATCATCACTATAATGAGTTGCTTTCTCTCATACCTTATCCTCAGTTGCAGCTGTGAATGCTAATGGCGTCGAGTGTGGGTGGCATCGGGTGTGAGTGCTGAATGCACCACATAGTTGATGAGGTGCATGCAATTTTGATTATCTATTTTGTTTGTTTAAGGTTTAGGTGATAGCGAGTTACTTCCTCTCTTCTCTTATCCACACTCGTAGTTGCGACAAGCGACATCGAGTGTGTGTAGTATGCAACTGAGAAAATTGAGGAAGGTGTGTGCGGTTTCAAATCCTGGTTTGTTTGCTTAAGATTCAAGTGTAAAGAAATAACAAAATAGGATTTATTTTATACATTAATTTATAAATTAAAGCATCTAAACCAATAGCTTTTAGCCTTACACCTCATAAATGGCGCAAAGGAGCACCTCAAGGCATGCCTCAGCCACACTGAGGCGTAAACCTCATAGCATTTTTTAAAATTTGTGCTAAGGCTGGTCTCTTATTAAGAAATGCATTGTGGAAAGCGAATTTGCATTTAAGGTTTAATTTTACATTAGTTGATTTTATTTTATTTTTTAAATTACAATTTTTAATTTTCTTTTTGTAATCATGTCTATGATGATAGCAATGAGAATAGGTTGTGTTCTCAAATATTCAAATTTCTACCCACTAATTTGTTTTAATTCAGCCATTAGTTCTCTATTTTTCTTATCATTGGTTCTATACTTCTATGATAATTCAACCACTTTTCAATGCTATTTTAGGCCTTAATTTGGGATGCAACAAG